GAGCAGCTGCTTTTAGTGCAGCTACCTGCGCACACCTGCACAGGGAGCTGCTAATCCAGAGGGGCTGGGGGGGGTATCCCAAGCGTCCCTCCAGGAGCTACAGTCGGAATATCCAGCTGGGACCGGGGAGCAGCCGGACCCACCTGGGCACGAAGCATCCCTTTGAGAAAATGCAGAGGGCAGAGCCCTCTTGCCAAGGGGCAGCACCTGAGCAGGCCGGGCAGCATGTGGGGTTCCATAGGAGAGCTTTCACCTTTCCCCTTTTATTGTGTCAGTCCCTCCCTAGAACCCCAAGACCTTCCACAGCACTCCCAGAAAAAAGAGGGGTTATGGAGAGACAAGGGGTTTAAAGTATGGGAAAAAACTTCCTTTTCCATTATTTCTTGCTTTCAAATAATGAGGAAATGCACTTCCCCTGCAATTTTAATGGTCTCATTTGAAAGAGTCCCTGCCTTTTCTATGCTGTTAGGGGTGGTAATTGACAGGGAATCCCCATATTCCATTATTTTCCAGTTTAAATAGAGGGGGAAAACCTTGACAATGTTGTTTATGGGTTTGAATTAAGAGTAACCCTTTTTGTTGTCCTAAGGCTTAAATTGAGGGGGAAGCCGAGCTATCTCTCTTTCTTAAGGGTTTGGATTGAGGGGAAAATCCCTCTGTCTTCATAATTGGAGAGATTTAACTTGAGGAAAGCCTCTCTTTTCCCAATATTCGAGGGGATTAAGTTAAAGGGCGGAAGCCATTTATTTGCCATGGTATCCATTTCAGTGGAGGCAACTTACCCATTTCTTCATTTTAAGGGATTAATTTGAAGGAGGCTCTTCTAAGATGCTTTTTCAGCATTTAAAACTACTTTTCAGGGCACTTCTTTCTGTGCCCTAGGACTAAGTACCTCAGAGAAAGGCAAGCCTAGCACGTACTTAACCTTTATGCTGTCCAGGAGCCTATTGTTTTTCTTATTTTTATTTATAATGTAGTTAGTCCTAATTAGTAGCCCCAAGGAGACTTAAACTGTTCATAAAATTAGTACTTTTCTCCACCCTTAGTCTCAGGTTGAGTACTACTTAGTAGTCACTGAGGAATAATTATATAAGTTAACAGCAAATCACCCAACTTATCTAGATATGCTGCCTAAAAACAAAGTTTTATTTCTTACCAGTTTTTTTGCCCTTTTGCTCCAAGCAGTTGTAGAAAAAAGAAAGAGCTGTCATTTCCCTGAAGAGTTTTCTTCTATATCCAGCCCTTTCTTCTCCTTGAATTCAAGCCAGAGGAGCCAAATAGCCACAGCTCCTCTGATGGCTTTTATACTCTGTGGGGTTTGCCCCCTCCCTTTTCCCAGGTGCCACGGGAACGAGAGGCGGGCCCAATCAGGGGTATATTAACCCCAGCCTTTCCCAAGGGGCTTCATTCCCTCAGTGGGATCAGCTGGGATAAGAGCTCTCCTCTCATTCAGGTGAAGAGGCTCCTTTAGCTTAGCTTGTTCTCTGCAGCTGCTTTTGGGCTTCTAATGCAACAGAGACTTTGAAGATACTGCAAAGAAAACAACGTTGAACACAGGGAGTATTTAAATTCACAGTTTGGGGTTGAGTATTCAGGGCTGGTAAGGTGCTTTTGTAATTTCTGATTTTTTTCTTCTTTTTTTAGGAGGAGGGCAACTTCCAGTAATTGCAGTTTGTGTCGAGCGCAACATTTTTCCAGCAGATTCATCACGACGCAGAAGGCATCCGCACTGTGTCAAAGATGATGTGTGAGACGG